AGGGCTCTAGATTGGGTCCCTTGAAAGGCTACCTAATAATGGGATTCCATGATGGGGTCCTCTTAAAGGTTCCCTTAAGGGTCCCTTAAACACCCAAAGCCGTCAATCTGTTGCATCTTGCAAGATTATGGGACACCCAAACCAACACTTGAACTTACAGAACTAAGCCCTATTTTCAGTCATTCCAGTGCCGCGCTGGACGCCGAGCGCCGGCGCAGCAGGGCAGCCCAAACCGAGGTGCAGCGTTGTTGTCACTTTTTGACCTGCTTGTTTTAAGGTTTTGTTGCGGCAGGGCTTTAGCAGTTTTGTTCAGAACTTGGATTTTGGGATTGTTTGCAAGGTTTGTTGTGGCAGGCTTGAGCAGTTTTGTTTGGAGCCGGGCTTCTCAAAGGGACAGTCATTGTAGTAGGTTTTCATCACTTTTCGAAAGAGGGTTTCATCCTAAACCTGACCACAGTGAAGACTGCGTGCCCTTCGCTTCTAATCTTTCTCGTGAAACCCTCGGCCGCAATATCCTAAGACCTAATGCCCTAAACTTGAAAAAGCTCGCCGAAGTTTAGCAAACCCAAAGAATCTAAAGCCATGAAAGGCCACCCAAAGCTCTACGCCCTAAACCCTAAACAGCCTCTGTGCCCTATGCCTCAGGCCCTACATCCTAAACCCTATGCCAAAAAACCCGAGGCCCTAAGCCCTAAGACCTGTGCTTGAAGTCCCCACAGCCCCAAACGCAAAACAACTCTGAAATTCTAAAAGTACCAGAAGCCTAAAAATCTCTAAGCCCTAAACCAAAACGGTGAAGGCCCTGAACCAACCCAAAGCCCTGAACCCTGAACCCTAAACAATAAACCCTAACCCTCCCAAAACCAAGAAGTGCCAGAAACTTCGGTCCCACTTATAGCGAGAGAGGCCCAGGGGACTTAGTCAGTAGGTTATAAGTAGGGTTATGAGTATCCTAGATGCAGTTACCCCAATTATAACGCTACTTACAACCTACTTACTAGGTCCCCTGCCCCTCCAAGTAGACCCTAACTACTAAACCCCTGAGATCCCTTTAAGGAGCCCGTTAAGAGCCCTTACTAAGTCCCCGCCTGGGCCTCCAAGCAGCCAGGCGGAGGCGCTAAGGACGCTTCTTGCGTGTCAGGATGTGCTGGGTGGCGTGGCTGCAAGCAGGGGGTCCGGGGAACTTCCGCGAAGGGGGGGGGGGCGGCGGGGTTTAGGGTTTAGGGTTTGGAGGAACTTAGGAGCCGGGGGGTTTCATAGGGGTTTTGTACGGTTTCGTTGGGTTGTTTTTTGTGGCTTTTGCGATGGTTTTAATGCGGCTTCGCAGGGATTGATAGGAGGAATCGACCGTAGAGCAGGACATATGGGCCCTTATAATTTAGGGTATTATATTCGCGAATCATAAGGTACTTTGCTCCGTGGGTTCTCACGTCCTTCAGAAAAAGAGGCATCTAGTGCTAAACATAAGGACTCGAGGGTTCAGGGGTTGGGGTAGAGGATTCCAAGAAGCTTACGTGTAGATCCTTATGCATGTGCGTTCTTGGGTGAATCCTTGGAATCTCCGGATATACGAGTCTTCCCAAGCTTCTCACTGGGGAGTTTCAGGAACTTTGAGACGAATTTATATATGGGAGTTTCAGCAAACAGGCGTACCTTAGTTTGGCGTCCTTGTGATAAGAATCCTACTGTTTAGGTTGCTATATTAGGGTCCCCTATTGCCGGAAACTCCCATTTAGATCCTGCGCAGTCAGTACCAAGACCAGTATCAAAGGAGCCCGTGTCGTTCGAAGGAAGCCCAAACAAGCTGCGGTCGGAATCAAGGATTCTTTCAGGGGATTGTTAGGAAGAGAGAGTTTGGTTCTGTAAGAGCTGTAGGCTCTAGGGTTACTATAAGACTTTGGTAAGTGTCTTGAAGGGCGTTCGTAGGGTTTATATGCTTTATATAAGTGCTTAAAACGGTAGGTTCTCTAGGGTCCAGGTAGGCTAGAGATCATCTAACGGCCGGATAAAGCGCATCCAAGTTGAAGAAGCCGATAAATCAATCAATCCCAAACCCCTAAAACCCTAAACCCCCAAACCCCTAGGACCCTGAATCTAGACCCTAAACCCCTATACCCTAAACCTGAATCCCTAGGACCCTATAGAACCTCAAAGCCTCACAAAAAACCGGCATAGATGAAGTAAGTTGAGGTGAGCTGGCAGTAGCTTCGAGCGCCGGGACGGCGAGAGGCCAGGCTTGGGAGTTCAGGGGTTAGTGGCTTACTTGCTCTACTCTGGCACGCCTATCCACGATTTGCTGAACAAGCCGGCTGCGTGTGAATGAGTTTAGGCCAGCTCTGAAAGGGATTGGGGTTTAGGGTTCAGGGTTCAGGGTTTAGGGGGATTGGGGTTTAGGGTTCAGAGTTCAGGGTTTAGGGCTCAGGGTGTTTGTAGGATGGCCCTCTGCGGTCGGGCCATTGCTGCATGTGGCAAAGCACCGGGCGCTCGGCACATGGGTAGTTCCTTAAATCAGGGTCCAAGTTTAGACCCCAATCTAGTACGGCATCCTTCTGAAAAGGACCGAAAATGGAGCCTAATTTAGAGAACTGCCCACATCCATGTTTCATAATTGTTTACTGCTGCAGCGCAAGATCATGCCACGGTCCTAATGGCCCCAATACCCGCAATGCCTCAATTAAACCAAGCCTCTCTGACGTTTAAGCTCTAAACCCCACTACCCCTACCCCCCCCCCCCCCCCCCACAACCCCAGATCCTAACCGTCGTAAACCCTTCCAAACATGAAACCATAGCATACTAGCCCTAAATCCCAGCCCCCGTAAACCCAAAGCCCCAAACCCCAAAACCCTATGACAGGGGGATTTTCATTCGCAGTGCACATGGTTATGCCAAGTATGCGAGGATAGTTGGCATTCCGGCAAGGATTTGGACATGGATTCCCATCTGGCTGTTGAAATTTCTGTGCGCTTACTACAACGACGGCTACTACTATGTACTACTATTCTTATGACTACTTTCACGATTACTACCACTACTAGTACTACTACTACGACGACGACTACCACTACTGTGCTGCTGCTGCTGCTGCTGCTACTGATGGCATGCCTTACCACCTCGCCGCTGATAAGACGAAAGGGCCTCTGAGACAACCACACACCACAAAGAAATGTATGTAGTAGACTATATCATAGTATACTATACTTTGGTATGTGGTTTCATGAAGTTGCATTAAGGGGGCCCAACGACTACAAGCATTACAGGGTACTTCAGCGGAGGGGCCTTACTACATCAGGTTTAGCTCACGATTCCTGAAGCGCTACTGGCTAAAAGAGACCGCTCTTTTCTTTGCCGTCATCCATCTCCAAGCGCCGGTTTGCCCCAGGTGTTCATGTGTTGGCCAGTATCTGACAGCATACAGTAACCCACTGTACGTGCAATTTTGACTACTGATAGCCAAGACATCTTTATGACGACAGTAGTAGTAGTAGTCGTAGTAGTAGTAGTAGTAGTAGTAGTAGTAGTAGTAGTAGTAGTAGTAGTCGTAGTAGTAGTAGTAGTAGTAGTCGTAGTAGTAGTAGTAGTAGTAGTAGTAGTAGTAGTAGTAGTAGTAGTAGTAGTAGTAGTAGTAGTAGTAGTAGTAGTAGTAGTAGTAGTAGTAGTAGTAGTAGTAGTAGTAGTAGTAGTAGTAGTAGTAGTGTTAGTAATCGTGAAAATAGTAAGCAGCGTCAGTGCCATAATGGCCACGCAGGATTTTGACCCTGCGCATGCGCGTCAATATTCGGGATTGACTGCAGACTCGTTTGAGGTCACATTGATCGAGAATGATTCCTCTGGCGAGTTGCTGTCTCTGAATAAGTACATTGCAGATGAAGACTTGATGGCTTTTGATGCAGAGTGGCAGCCAGAATCTATACGAACAGACGGTGTGCATGTGCTGCAGTTGGCCTTTCCCTCCAAGCAGCGCGTTTTCGTCGTGCAGTTGGGGGCTCTGAGGGAACCTCACTTGACCAGTCTAAAGACGTCCTTTCAACGCCGGACGCGCAGGATTGTCGGCTGGGGTGTTACAGAAGATATCTATCGATTGTCCTACACTTTTGGGTTCGACTGGACGAGGAAGATTTTTGACATCCAAAATGTTGCCGGCATCCTCATGAAGGAAGCAGAAGCAGCTGTAGGCATCCGAGGGCAGTTCGGTCAAGCTCCAAGTATGTTTCGTAAACTGCAGGATGCGGTTGACCATTTTTTAGGTATCAGCATGTCCAAAGACAGTTCTGTCACCTGTTCAGACTGGAGTGCACCGCATCTCAGTTCTGAGCAGGTTAGATATGCTGCAGCTGACGCCTGGCTAACAGTATTACTCTATTTGAAGCTTGCTTCACTTCCAGAGGCTTTGGCTTTGTTCGAGCGGCGTTGGGGTCCGCAGGGCCAACGGGCTTTCGACGAAGAGATGCAATTCAGGCAACGGCAGGCAGAGAAGGATCGGGCACGTTTGCAACAGCAACGACGGTTGGCGCGGAGCAGGAGCCGCAGCAGATAGTCTCCTTTGTGTTCTTTAATGTCGCATGGGCCAAGAGTCGTTAAAAGGCGAGAAAAAAAGCCGCTGTTTCAGCTACATCATATCTACAAGGGGTAGAACAGATTGAAGGGATATTCTCGTTCTCACACACTGTACCCTGTATAGGTGCAGCTTTTGATCCGTATGTCACCTCAAACAGATCATTCAAATGGATATGGGTGGTTGTCAAATTATGGTCCCTGTTTGGGTCCCTGTTGTAATACGGCACCTATAATTTAGGCTACCCAAAAAGGACCCCAATTTTGACAACTACCCATCCCATATGTTGGCCCCCTCTCTCGACAAGACAGTATGGGAGTTTCGAAAATAGGGGACCCTAATATAGCACTCTAAATAGTAGGATCCTTGTTGTAAGGACCCTTAAATGAGGCACCCCTGATTTTCGGAATCTCCCATATTGTCAGCAGGCCCAAGGCCCAACTACAATTTTGCAACCGGTTTATGGTTGTAGGGTTTAGGGTTTAGGGGTTAGGGTCTGGGGGTTAGGGTTTAGGGGGAACTTGATCAAGAATCCTTGGGCCTTCATTAGGGGTCCTTATATATACATCCTACTATTTTGGGGTTATAGACCCAGGGTTTCTTAATCAGGTTCCTACACTAGGGTTTAAGGCTTGGGATCTTAACATGAAACCTCAAGCCGACGGCGAGACCTCGTGTTTAAAGACGTGTAGGTATCCGGGAGTTGCTGCTGCCGGGCCACTACCGAACCGAACACAACGCCCCACCAGAAAAGCTAGTAGTGGTGGTAGTAGCAGTAGTAGTAATACCAGTAGCAATAATAGTAGTAATCCTCGTAGGTCGTAATAGTAGTAGGAGTAATAGTAGTAGTAGTAGTAGTAGTAGTAGTAGTAGTAGTAGTAGTAGTAGTAGTAGTAGTAGTAGTAGTAGTAGTAGTAGTAGTAGTAGTAGTCGTAGTCGTAGTCGTAGTCGTAGTCGTAGTCGTAGTCGTAGTCGTAGTCGTAGTAGTAGTAGTAGTAGTAGCAGTCGTAGTAGTAGTAGCAGTAGATGTTGTTGTTGTTGTTGTTGCACTCGCACTCGCACTAGCACTAGCACTAGCACGAGCACTAGCTGACAGACGGATGAGTAGCAGGTGTTTTTATATATCAAGACAAACCTGAAACCCTCTCAGACACAATCCGGCACCAGCCAAAGCTGCTGCGTGGAGTGTCATTTCATAGTATTGGGGGTTTGGCTGGTTTAGGGGGATTAGAGGATTTGAAGGGGTTTTCGGGGGTTTTTAGGGGGTTAAATCCTGAACCCCAAACCCTAAAACTGTTGCTTGGAGGCAGCCTTTCTCCCAGTCCGCCGACGTCTGAGGCGGCGGCTTGCTCTGAGGTGGGGGGCAAGGGAAATGGGGTTTTGGGTTTAGTTTACGGTTTTGGGGTTTAAGGTTTCGGGGAAGGTTTTGGGTTTTTTGTTGGGCTTCGTGGCTTTAGGGCTTCAGGGTTTCAGGCTTTAGGGCTTTAGTTTTAGGGTTTTGAGGGTTTATTCGGGGTGAGGGGTCTAGAGCTTAAGGGTATCACCAATATTGTCCGCGTATGATAGATATCGTGATCGAACGGTTTGTGAGATCACCCCTTTGCAGTCTACATACTTATACCCTAGTGTACTATTTCATTCACCCAAAGCCTTGTCTTTTTCCTGGGTTCGGCTCGGAGTGTGGGTTTCATGGTTTCAGTCTTCAGGGCTCAGAGCTTCGTGTCATGGGTAGGTCATGCCTGCGCAACAGAAAACGATGTGGGAGTGTTAGGAGGGAGGCGGGAGGGTTTAGGGTTTAGGGTATAGGTACGCAGTTTAGGGAGGTAGGGAGATTACAAGGTGTTGCCGACCTTAGACCCCACTTGCTAAGTCCTAAACCCCAAACCCTAAACCCCAACCATCCTGCACTAGGACCTAGCAGTCGAGGAGGCGTTGCCGTCCTGCGGATTTCTGGATCCCGCAAGCCACAGACCCGATGTTACTTTTTGCTTTTTGCTCAGTGAGAAGACACTAGGTTAGAACAAACAGCCCTAAGCAATGTCGGCAAGATTGCGTAAGTGATGATGGGGCGGTACATGCTTTGACGAATGTTCCTTAACTAGTGGCTCTTGGCTGGTCTTGGAAGAGAGAGAGAGAGAGAGAGGGAGAGTGTGTGGTGTATATGTATATGTATCTGTATATGTATATGTATATGTATATGTATATGTATATGTATATGTATATGTATATGTATATGTGTATATGTATATGTAAATGTATATGTATACATGCATACATGCATACATACATACATACATACTTTTGCACGAGGCTTTGCCAAGTGCTGATGCAGCGGCCGTGATAGATGAGGAGCAATGGAATCACACGCAGCATGCGGGGTGGGAGCTAGTAATGATGATGGACAAACTAGATGAGCCTGTGACGCGGAACGTCTACAGAACGGCTGCCCCGTGCCATGGCTTTAGTTTGACGCCCCGAAGGCCTGACAGAACCGTAAGAGATACAGAAAGCCTAAAGCAACCCCAAACGCTTAGAGCTCTCAACGCGAAACCCCGAACCCGAACCCGAAGTCCATCACCGTTCAAACCCAAAAAACCCAAAGATTCAACTGTACTTAAAGCTAAATACAAGCCGTGTAAAATTTGATCGAATGCTGCAGAACCCTTTTGACCCATAAAACAACCATCGAAGCCACCAGTATCCTATAACACTTCCACAGTAGCGACTTTATAAAGCCCGGCTAGAACCCACCCTAAACCCGAAGCCCTAAAAGCCTTAAACCCTAAGCCCGAAGCCGTAAACCCTAAACCCTAAATCCTGAGCCCTATAAACCCTGAACCCGGAGCCCCAAACCTAAAAAGCCCTAAACCGAGAGGACCTAAGCTCGCTGCCGCCAACTTCTGATGACGCGCCGGCGCAGGCTCGGATCGAAGATGAGCCCATCTTTTGGGGTTTAGGAGGCCCACCTTTAGGGTTTAGGTGCATTAGGGTTTGGGGTTCAGGGTTTAGGGAGGTTTGTGGTTTAGGGTTTGGGTTTGGGGTATTGGGGTTTGATAGTTCTAGGGGGTTTAGTCTTTTTCCTTGGGGTTTAGGGCTTTTACTCTGTATTACGCGGGAAGCTTTCGTGGTTGCCGCTGATTTCCTTAAGCAATGTTATCTTAGGGTGTTATATGATTTGAGGCGCAGGTTGAGGTTGAAGTGAACCTTGTTGTAGAAAGTAGCAGTTCGAGCATAGCTCTCACCCACCTAAATTGGGTAATCCGACCCTTACCTTGGCAACTTCTAAGCCCTGTGCCCGAAACTTCTGCTGTCACTGACAAACCCACATATCAAGCCCCGGAAGGGGTTAGGGTTTAGACTTTCGGGTTGAGGGTTTAGGGTTAAGGGAAGCCCTTATAAACCCTTTTGCAAGAAAGTAAGGATGAATCCGATAATCCTCATCGCCTTCACAAAAAGTTCTCCAGAAGCCCTCGACTTCGGATTCCGTGAATGTTGGTATGAATATGAATCAGAGCATTTGCAAACGGGTACACTAAGGGATGTAGGTTAAGTTACCGTGGCGCAGACCCTAAACCCTAAACCCGAAACCCTAAACCCTAAACCCGCAGACCCTGTAGCATCGAGGTATCCGGTCCCTGTCCCGAGCCTTTCGCAGGGACTTCATCAATTCAGTGTAAGCTTCGTCATGCCCTGAAAGATTTCGTGGTGAAGAGAAGCAGAATCCTGACCCTGCCCCCGAAACCCTGAACCTTAGACACCCCAGACCCTAAATCCTACGCCTTATGTCCCAGGCTGCATGTACCAAAATAGTATAATATAGTTTGGCCTTTGTAACAACATACTCTAGCCTTGTTAATAATGTACGTTGGCCCTCTTCACAGTACCCATAGAGGGCGTCCAACATGCAAAACCTTAAGGGCCTGAAGCTTGCTGCAAGCTCACCAATCATTGTCAGAGTTTCAGCAGTCTTTTAAACACCCAATGCTTTTCGCGGTAAGATTTGAAACTTCAACATCTTAAGCTTAACCCGCCCCCCCAAGCACTGAAAAAGCTTCGTGAATGTCCACAACCCACTTAAACAGATCTACAAAACCGTATAATTTGACTAGACTCATAAACATTCCCTTAATTTACTTTAAACATTGGTACATGTCTTTCCCCGGGCTCTTCCTCGTTCTCTTCCCTACCTGGCACAGTAAAAGCCCTAAATCCACGCCCCAAGCCCTAAACCCTAAACCCCGAAACCTAAAACCCTGAAGCGCTAAACCCTACAACCTCAACCCCAAGAGCCTAAGCCCTAAAAGCCGAAACCGCAAAAGACCTAAGCCCTAAAGCCCGAAAGCTTCAGAGATCCCTTTAGAAACCTTTGTAGGATCCCTTTGGAGGGATCCTTGCAAAGAACAATGTTAGGACCCCTTTAGAGAAGCCTTAAAAACCCAAACCCCAACACCTGCCAGGAAAGGCGGCACGGGCGTGCGCGGAGAGCGCCGCGGGAGTCCCAGCAGCCGGCGCAGGCGGGTTCAGGGGTTTAGGTTCTACAAGGGGTTTAGTTTTAGATTTGGGGTTTGGGGTTATTGAGTGCTTCGGACTTAGGATTGAAGGGTTTTAGGGCTTTAAGGTTTGCTATAAAAGGAACACTAAAATTTCCTTCACAGCGAACTGTAACGGTTCTACAAAGGCTTTAGATTTTGGTGTAGGGGTTCTGGAGTTTAGGTTTTTGGGTTTGGGGTTGACGGTTTTTGGTTTGGGGGTTTAAGGGTTTGTTCATTGGTGTATGGTTTAGGGTTCGGGGTCTAGGTATTGTTAGTGTCAGGGAAGCACGGACCAAGAAGCAGCACCACCTCAAACCCCTAACCCTAAAACCCCAAATCCTAAACACCAAGGACCAAGGCCATAAATCGCTAAACTCTAAACCCTAAACCCTAAGAAATCAGAAGTGTAAAACCCGAAACAAACATTGGTCCAGGCTTCAGTTGCGGCTGTGCGCAAGTGCCATGCACGCAAGAGCCGTGGAGTCGACTTTTGCAGGATTTTGGGTTCCAAATTTAGGGTTCAGGGTTTAGGGTTTTTGGGGCTTTGGGGTTTAGGGGTTCAGGGTTTAGAGGTTTGGGGGGTTTAGGGGTTGAGGGTTTTGGGGTTGAGGGTTTAGGATTGCGGTTTCGGGTTCAGGGCTTGAGGGTTCTGCGGGGTTCTGTGGTCAGGCCTTGATGGCTAAGGATCTATCTAGAAACTACCTTGAAAGCTCTGAGTAGTTCAACACTCGCATGTACAGCATGTGTACTGAGATCATGTAGGGGCCTTAATAATTCGAACGGGCTTTTGGGGGTTCCTTATTGCAATTTTTTTATACCCCCAGAACCTATTCTAAACAAATTCGGGCTTCTAGTATCTTTTGCTTGCGCCATGAAACCGGAAGGCAGAACCCCAACCCTGAAACCCTAAACCCCATAAACCCCCTAAGCCCCTAAACCCCTTAAACCCCTGAACCCTTAAACCCCTAAATTCTAAACTCGAGATCTCTCGGCTTCGTGAGCTTGCTTAGGTTAAGCTTCGCTGAGCGCGACTTCGTTGCCGCAACACCCGCGGATGGCACAAAACCCAGCGAGCAGCGCGGGTGCCTCTAATGGGCTCCTGGAGAGGGTTCCTTCAAGGGATCCCTTATAGAAAAGTTTCAGGATCCCGTATAGAAAAGTTTAAGGATCCCTTATAGAACCCTCCAAGGGATCCCTTCCTACAGAACCCTTTAAGAATCCTATAAACGATGTATTAGGGTTTAGGGTCTAGGGATTCTTGAAGGGATCCTGTAAGGGTTCCCTGACCTGACGAGATCCTCTGAGGGATCTGGCTTGGGGTTTAGGGTTGAGGGTTTAGGGTTTAGGGTTCAGGGTTTAGGGTTTAGGGTTGAGGGCGCGGTTTTGAATTGTAGGATGTAAGATCGAGTCTTGAGGGTTCAGACTATATGGACAGGACGAGAGGCCAACGGCCTCTATGACCTAAGGAGCCTTCCGTGAGTCACATTCGGAAGCCACACATACTGTAAGAAACTTTCCCTACACCGTAAACTTTCCCCGAACCTTAAACCTACAGCCTAAGCCCTAAACCTTAACCCTTGATTACAGGGTGCTACCCCCTTTCGAAGCTGCTGCAGCATCATGAGATAGCTGCGCAACAGTTGGTATAAAGAAATCTCGACTATCGATTCATGGTTTTCCCTACAGTACCTTTGGAGTGATACTATTATACCATAAGACCTAAACCCTAAACTTCAACATCTCAGTCTGATGATTGAGGGTCCCACATGGGAGTTTCCGACAAATGTAGGGGGTACCTTATTCGGGGTCCTTATAAGAAGGATCCCATTATTTAGGGTACTATACTAGAGCCCTATTCTCGGAAACTCCCAAAAGAAACCCAAGACCCCCGTCTGAAGGCTATCGTTCCACATTTGGCTCGAAGCGTTTAGGAATGCCTGAAGGGGGCTTGAGGTTTCTATTCCCTCGCCCACAGACCCGAGCTATGCCGTACTCCTAGAACCCAACTCCAAACACAGAACCAGCACTCAAACCTACGGGTTTGGGGTGTACGGATTACGGCGCAAGCCCAAGAGCGATATAGCTTCTGAGGTCGGACCCAAGAATGACCCTGAAACCAACATCAGTAGGATAACTCCGAAGAGGACCTCAGGCGATTTGCCTTGCAAATTCTCGCCATGTTGGACACCGGCATGAAGTTCCGGGTGCTGGGCGGACGCGGCAAGAGCAAGGCCAATGTCGGGGGGTTCAGCTCTAGATAGCAAGATAAATTGTTACTGCAAGCAGTCGGCTGCGTCCGCCATTGCCACACTGAAATGGCTAGCTGTTGAGATGAGCACCATCGAGCCCACATGTAGCCCCGTGTAGGGTGGAAAATCTAAACCGTTCTTGCCATCACCATGGGAGTTTCGCAAATTAGCTAAGGTCCTAACCACTGAGGGACGCTGAGAGAAACATATGACGAGATCGATCTGGGCGTTGTCGGAACGGGTCGCAGGGAAGCGTTCAGGTTTTGGGGTTCAGGGCTTAAGGGCCTGGGTTTGGGGTTAGGGCTTAGGGTGCAGGATGCTTGCATTTGCATTAGCTGGGCTGGGTTCGCAGTGAACCCAAACCTTAGACCCGTACACCTGAACCCGATACTTAGATGAAGTCGGAAAACCTGAGCCTAAAAGCCCTAAGGCCTAGTGGAACCCGCAAAGAGCCCTTCTTGTACCGAACCCTTACTCATAGGTTTCGTCAGAGGTCTACCCTTAAGGACCCAAAAAGGACTAAGCATAAGCATTGTCTGGGGATAT